AGGAATAAAAAAGAATACGTCGAATTATATCGATCAAAATAATGTTGACAAATTAAATGCATGTGGTATAATCGTCTTAGCGAATATTTGTTGAATGAGGGTTATAAAAATGATGATATCTACCTATGTGTTTTCATAAAGAAAACAAATAGTGGATTTGCAATTGTGGCAGTTTATGTTGATGATTTAAATTTAATTGGAACTCCTGAATAACTCAACAAAACTGCTGATTATTTGAAAAATAAATTTGAGATGAAGGATTTGGGAAAAATCAAATTTTGTCTTGGATTGCAGATTGAACATTTCGCAGATGGATTATTTGTTCACTAATCTACGTATACAGAAAAAGTTTAAAAACATTTTTACATGGATAATGCACATCCATTTGCATCACCTATGATTGTTTGATCACTTGATTTGAAAAAAGATCTATTTCGTCCACTTGAAGGTGGAGAAAAAGTTCTTGGTCCTGAAGTACCATATCTTAGTGCAATTGGAGTATTAACTTATCTTGCAAATTGCACTCGACCTGGCATAACTTTTTCTGTAACTCTCCTTGTGAAATATAGCTCTACATCAACTCAAAGACATTGGAATGGTGTTAAACATACTTTTTGTTACCTAAAGGGTACATTAATTTGGGATTATTTTATTCTCAAAAGTTAGGATCTGCTTTAGTAAGATATATAAATGCATGTTATCTATCTGACCCACATAAAGCTAAATTACAAACAAGTTATGTGTTTACACGTGGAGGAATGGCTATATCATGGAGATCTGTGAAGCAATCTTTGACAGCTACATCTTCAAATCATTCTGAAATTATTGCAATCCATGAAGCAGGCGCGAGAATGTATATTGTTGAAAAACATGACCTATCATATCCAAGTATCATGCAGATTAATTTCAACAAAGGATAGTCCAACAATTTTGTATGAAGACAATGCAGCTTGTATTGCACAACTCAGAGAAGGCTATATCAAAGGTGATAGAACGAAACATATTTCTCCAAAATTCTTTCATAGACATGAGCTTCAAAAGAATGGCGATATCAATATCCAACAAATTCGCTCAAGAAAAATGTGACCGATTTATTCACAAAAGCACTGTCAACATCTACATTCAAGAAATTAGTTCATGAGATTGGAATGCGTCGACTCAAAGATTTTCAGTAATCAACATCAGGGGAAGTAGTTGTACTCTTTTTCCTTAGTTTAGGTTTTGTCCCACTGGGTTTTCTTAGCAATGTTTTAATGAGGCAGCATTTATTTTTAGTATTCAAAAATAACTGTACTCTTTTTCCTATTGTTTGATTTTTTTCTCTTTGAATTTTTATCAAGCAACGTTTTAACGAGGCAGTTATTGTATAAACAATCATCAAAGGGAGAGTGTTATAAAATAATGAGATAATTATTTAATATTATCATGATACATGGATAAGTCTTATCTACAGTTTATATCTATTTTATTCAAATTGTAACTCTTATTTTGAACTCTATAAATATAGGACGTTGGTTCATAATAATACACAATTGAGTTTTAACTCTTTATTTCTTCTCTTATTTTCTCTCTTCCCTTTAATTTTATAACACACACACACACACACACATGTATATATATAGAGAGAGAGAGAGTGAGAGAGAGACGAAAATGGCAAATTTTTAAATCATTTCACTTTCTAAACCAATTACTTTTTTATTATAAATTAAAATTAAAGGTAAACCATGTAAATGACATGCTAGAACGAGTGAGCATACTTAGTTTCATAACCGACATAAAGCAAATAAATTGGAGAAAACTTGCGACAATGTGATTTTATCTCCCCTAAAAGAATTTTCAAAAAAACCGTAGCCTTAAGATTTGAAATTTATCGATCGCTACATCAAATCTCACTAAACTTGACCTCAAATTTTGCATAGGCACAACTACGACAAAAAGAATTTACATAAACCTTATTATCTGAAAATTGAATAGGTTGCTGACTATGACAATAACAGAGATTCGCTAAACTATCAACTATATTAAAACAATTATCCAGTGAATACTTTCAAATAAGAATATCAAAATTATAAAAAATGAATACACTATTTTAATTCCAATAAAAACATGGTTCAACTAATAAGATTTAAAAGTGCCAAACAAATCGAAATGAAATCACAACAATTAACTGTAAAATCTAGCAATTAAGTTATAAAAAAAAATAGTAAATTGAGTGATTACATATAAAAAAAAAAAAAAAAAGCCTATTTTGCTAAATCTATAGGGAGCCCAGCACGAATATTAACACAACAGCACAACTATCAATAAAATATATGCAAATAGTTGTCAAAAAATTTAAAAATAATTGGATAAACTGGCCTATAAATTAGAAAAAGAAGAAATTATGTGAGTTTGAATTAAAATTTAGATTTAATAGTCTACTTTTGTGATGGATCATCGACGAATATGGTTCATCAGTAATTGTTTAGCACTTCAGCCAATTTGAGATTTTTGCATTCTTTGAGATGACTAATTGATTATGATTTAATTAATTTATTGGGATGGATAATTGTCTAATTGAGCATTTACTTTAATTGGATTGGATATTATGTTTAATTGAGTTGGGTCTAATATTGATGTTTCTTTCAAATAGAGAATGTGTTTAGTTTCAATTGGATTGGATAAAATTTACTTTAATTTCATAAACGATTTGACGAATTGAAACGATTTGCAAAAAATTGAAACATACATCAAAACATTTTTAAAGCAGTTTCGTTTTGGCTCAAAATCGAAAAGTTGACGGACCCATGTAGATCCAAACTAATTGTTTCAAAAAGGCATTTTCAAATTAATTTTGTGGTTTGAAGATTTCATTATTGAGTCTTACCATACAACATGCAATACATATTTATATAATAAGTCTTTTAATGCGGCTTTGTGTGTAAGTAATCAGCAAATGTACTCCTTGTCCTTATTAGTCTCGTTGCTATCATAACACTGTTGTGAATTCCGTTATCAACTCCTACATAGTAGTAGAAAATCTGTATATTGATTAGTATTTTGAGATTGTTATAGTAAATTTTGGAAAATTAAGGTGTCAATCGGTATCACTTTGTCCACATTGTTATCAACGTGCAATATAAATTTATCAGATTAGTCTTTCAATGTGCATCAGGCACTATCATTCAACAATTGCACTCCTTGCACTTGTATATTCTCATTGCCATCATAACACATAACTTTCAGTCCTGAAATCCATTATCAAATCCTAGTCAATCGTCGTTAGTAATTTAAATTATTATCGTAAATTTTGAAAAATTAACGTGTCACCCAGTGTTTCACTTTTTCCACATTGTTATCAACATGAAACGCACATTTTTATATAAATAATCCTTTATTTTTGTCTTTATGTTCTCAAATAACATTTACACTCCTGGACCTTGTGTACTCTCGTTGATATCATAACATGATTCCATTGTCAACTCCTGGTAAACCGTGGAAAACTTGTATCTTGAAAATTTCGATTATTACCCCGTGTATCACTTCGTCAACATTGTGTATCACAATTTCGACGCTCACATTTCCATACGGATTTGAATCTAGATATTTACTACTAGGGATAACAACAGTTTAAAAAGAATTCATGTAATTTAACTACCAAAAAAATTAATGTAATAACCTAGCTGGAAAATAAATAAACTATCACATTACAATTTCCATGTGCTGGGACCGATGACCAATAATGTAGAAATTGAGATTTAATTATCACCACTTGAAGTAATAAACAAGATCACAAAATATCAAAAACAAGATTTAAAGTAAAGAAGAAAAAGAGAATTTAAGTATAGGAATGATGAATTTTATTAAACCCGACAATATGAAGAGAATTATAACGACACAGTAATTTGGCTTAAACTAAACTGAAAGATGAGCTACATATTTATAGTACACGAGTCAAACCCTAAAACTCGGCTAAAATATGGAAATTAAGAAAAACCACGTAAAAGAAAGAAATCCGGCATCCAAATATTATTTCCTTAATTTTGGATGCAATTGATTTCTTTCCTTTTTCACTTGGCTCTAATAATTCTTTCCTAAACCAAGACAACACGCAATCTTCCAATCTTTGACCAAATTTTGAGGCACCTAATTAACACCATGAGTCAAACTAATTAATAGATATGACGTTCAAGAGCAATTACTTGAAACAAAACAAAATTGTGGTAAACATGAAATTAGATGTAAGCTTAGTAACCACTAGCATATTTAACCTTTACGAACTCGAAGACTATAACCAATTAACCATGGGCGACATTGTTTTGCGATATGATATTGTTCTCTCTACCTTAAAGTCAAAAATTAACTCAAAAGTAAAATAGAAATAATTGAATAAATAAAGTTTACTCAATTTATTAAATTACTGCTTGTCTAGAGAAAAATCATGATGAATACAGAAATAGTCACTGATGGATATCGGTAGTGTTGGAAACGTAATTTGCAATTATTATCTAGATTCATGAATTATAATTATACATGCATTTGTCCATTAATGTACTAGAGGAGGAGAAACGTATCTATTCAATGTTGGTTCATGAGTTAGGCTAGATACATGTTAAATCTTATCTATAAATACCCATGTAACTCAAGCCATTAAAAGTATCGAAGTCACAAAAATTTACAATATAATATCTTCTCTTCTACAATCATAAAAAAGTGCAGCAGCACTATATTACGTATAATTTCGAGCATTCGATATTCCTTCTTTTTCATTTGGTTTTTAATCAATCCCCAACAGGTAGCTTCTAAAAAAGAATCATATTCTGTATCCCTTGTCGTTACGGACAATTGTCGTTAAATCGAGGTAAGCAAAGTCTAGCCCTTATCACAATTAACGGTCAAGGCACGCAAGCTGATTTGAAATTTCATGAGGACAGATATTTTTTTTAGTGGAATCATTTTTGATTGGTGATAAATAAATGATTTCAAAAAATTTAATTGAATCTATCGAGCGTGGTCGCCTATATTGATGCTTTAGCATCATTGGTACTAGATAATATTTTTTATTGAGAAAAATTGGTACAAATGATCCCTAACCTAGGGGCCGGTTACCGTGCAAATGGTTTCTAATGAAAGTTCATTGATGTAGAGAAGGTTCAGATGATTATTTCTTCTTGTAATTTAATATCAGGGAAAACTGCTAAAAGGAAATGAAATTGCAGTGAAAAGATTATCGAGGGATTCAGGCAAGGCGAGTTGGAATATAAAAAGGAGGTCTTGTTAGTGGCGAGACTTCAACACAGGAATCTGGTTTGGCCCTTGGATTTCTCGGTCGAAAGAAGTGAAAGGCTTCTTATCTACGAATCGGTCAAGAATGGGAGTCTTGACCGGTTCATATTTGGTAAAGTTTTGCTCCTATTTTAAGTAAATTATGTATTGCTATTTATTTAGAGCATAATTACCCTCATTTGATTTCCTGATATGTCATATATGCTTAACAGATTTGTAAATCAAAGCAATCATCCATATACGGATTGGGAAAATCGCTATATAGTCATAGTGGGTATTGCCAGGGGACTTTTTTACCTACACGAAGATTCTCGACTACGAATTGTTCACCATGATCGCAAAGAGAGCAATGTTCTATTAGATGGAGAGATGAACCCAAAAATTTCATATTTTGTCATGGCAAAATTATTTGTCCCGAATGAAACTCAGCACAAATTTTGGCATGACAAAATTATTTGTCCCAAATGAAACTCAGCACAAATTTTGGAGTACTAGCAAAATCGTAGGAACCTAGTAAGCATTTTAGATAAGTACCTAGTCTTAAAATATCTTTTTGCTTATTTTTACAAAGTGGATGCTTCGGAAAAAAAATTTGAAGCTATTCATAAAAATATAAATTTGGTTGTGCTTTAAATTAAACATAACTAGATAATTATTCAAAGACTAGTTCTATGTAGAAGCAGTGGCGCTCAACTCCAGGTGCAGTGGAGCCACTGCTACATTTTCTAATTGAGTTAAGATGCATTTTTATTCATTGGACAATATTACAGTGATCATACTTAATGCTAAACACACTTGTACTAGATAGAATTACTCTATTTAAATAACATCAGCACCAATGATACATCTACAAACTGACCATCACAGTGGATGTACGGCTCCTGAGTATGTAATACATACATGGAGAGTTCTCCATTAAATCAGATGTCTTTGGCTTCGGCATCCTAGTTTTGGAAATCATGTGCGGTCAGAAAACCTGTAATTTCCAAAACAACGAGATAATGGAAGACCTCCTAAGTTGTGTAAGTTCAAATATGCATAAGTTGGGTCTTTGTAAATTTGATGTTACATGATGCTCATATTATATTTAAGCATTCCCATTCTAACAGGTTTGGAAAAACTGGTATGAAGGAACGGCTGCAAATATAATAGATCGGGCATTAAGGTCTTCTTCATGATCCTTTAGTGACATTATGTGATGCATTTATATTGGTTTGTTATGTGTTCAAGAAAATGCAGCTGATTGACCTACAATGGCATCAATGGTTCTCATGGTTTCTACCTTCTCCGTAACTTTGTCATTACCGTCACAACCCGCATGTTTTGTGTCCAATAGAGTTGATTCAAAATTTCAGATCTTCGTGAGAATGATTCATCCAAAGATCGATCAGAACTACTCATTTATCAGCAAATGATGTCTCAATGAGTGATTTATATCTGCACTAATTTTCATTTAGATTATGCATATTCAATAGGTACATGCATGACATTTTCCATTTATTTTTATTATAAATGCAATTATTTTATAAGCAAACTTGTTTTTATGATTTCTATTGGTATGTTTTCCATGTTCTCTCCTTGTAGTAATTTCTTGCACATCTCATAAGACAATCCCGATTCATGTTATACAAATACACTTTTTAGTAAGTTTTTAGGGTTGTTAACTGTTCCAAAGTTATTTAAAGGGTAATTAGTACGAAACGTCCATTCTTTTCAATATTATTGTGCAAAGCGTCTCTAGGTTTTTTTTTTTTTTTTTTTTGCTATTTTTACCTTTATTTTCACCTTTGATTGCCAAAACATTCTTCCATCGACTTATCGTCAGTATCTCCATTAAATGAGCACAAAAAAGTCAATTTTCTTTTCGAAAAGAAAGGTATAGTCTTACAAAATTTTCCATTTCTTTCCACCTTGAATAGGTTCTTCCATAACTAACAGCAATGTTAATACAAAAATAACCTTATGATTAGTGTCTAAAAGTACTTCAAAAATATATCATTTACAAGGTATTTTAGATTTATTTTGTTTAAGTTCATTAATTTTAGTCTTTAATTTCAATTCTCTTCCCATAAATTCAAATTATATAAATACATGGTTATAAAGTGCAATTAATCGAAATATATATTTACATATATGTCGGCTTGAGTATTATGCTTTGAAAGAGCATTTATTTAATGTATTTCAAATTTATTTTCAATGTAGAGCAAGTGGAGAAAAAAATGTTGAAAAGTCAAAATTGATGGGTTGTCTCGATAAAATAATCATAACTTGAGCTATAGATATCGAACCAAGACCGTTCAAGTTGGGTTGGAAAGATAAGATATGTGAGTACAACTTTCATGCCAAGAAGTCAAATTCTCATCATAGGATAGCCAAAATTATCGTACAAAATCCAGGTTGTTATTTGCCTTATACATCTTTTCTACCTGTGAGCAGCACTTATTTTTTTGCCATATTTGGAGCTATAGAGATCCAATGGACCTGATATTTGTATCAATGGAAGATAACTTGAGTGAAAACAACTTATCTATTGATCAAAAAGTTAAGTTTGCTATACAACATATCTGAAAATTGGTATCAAATTACACATTTCAGCTATCTTTAAACTGGACTGAACACAAGTTGCAAATTGTCTATTTGCATGTTGGATGTTCCTTTTCCTATAAAAGGGAGACCTTAGCCAAAAGTTTGAGGGTATAAATTCCTCTTTATCATTTTCTAGTTTCCTTTATTTTCTTTGTAACATTTCATTATGTATTTCTAAACCTTTTGCTAGAGCTTGGGGTGAAACTCTGATGAATGCGTAGTATTGTCCTTGATATTTCACTTTGTTCTTCAATGTTGATCTTCTTACTTGGTTGAAGTATATGCTCTACAAATAGTTTTGGTTTGTTAAAGACTTTGATTTATTATTGACAATTTTGGAAAAATAAATACTTAGATAATATCTACATACCAACAACTTATTTTGACATATTCTTTGGAACAATTATCAAAACTATCTTTTAGTATATTTACCATCAATGATTTTATCTTCCATATGAGATCACTCCCCAGTTAATTTTCATATGAGTTAAATAAAAGACCAAAAATAATTTCTACTCATTTATTCGAAGTGAATCCCCAACGCTCTAGCATTCTTCTTCATCGTAATTCCACCAACCATTCAAAACTTATAAATTAGTTTATTTCCTTTCAATTCCTTGTGGTTCGACCTTGGACTTCCAAATTTACTATTTGAGACAACCTGTACTTGGGTTTATAGCCTTAAAGTTGTAGTAAGTTTTTGGCCCGTTGCTGGGAATTTGCTTCAAGGATTATTTTCTATTACTTTCTGTGAGGTTTTCTTCTCTTTCGTAATCTTCACAAATCAAGCACATTCGTTCCTTTTTCCATTTTATTACTTTAGTTATTTTACTTTAAAGAAGGGCTGAACCTCTTTCGTTTTTTTTTCTTTCTTTAAGGGGAAGGTCGAGCTTCCCAAACTGCCTTCCTTTATTATATGGTTGGTCGTGCCATCTAATTTTCGTTCTTTACATCTATTTTATGTTATTTTATATCATATTGGTACCGTGAATTTTATTCTCATCGTTTAGCTAGAGATAAATATGAAACTTTCTTTAATAATTTGTTTGACTAACCTCAACACTCACTCACATGTTCCACCTTGGCTAAAAATGAAAGCGTACATGATGAAAATGAAATCCAACAAGCACGAACCATGCGTGATTACTTGCAACCTCCTCGAAATTCTTCTCCTTCATATTTCATTTTCCATCTTAATGCTAATAATTTTTTTATTTAAGTTGGATATGATTCCATTACTTCCTAATTTTCTTGGTTTAGAATCCCAAAGTCCATATTTGTATCTTAAAGAATTTGAATATGTGTGTGCCATATTTAACTATCAAACTTGCCCCAGTGAAATTAGTAAAATCTAACCAGATAAGAGAAGATAAGTATTAGGAAGTAATGAAATCATAACCATCTTGAATCAAAAAATTATTAGCATTAAGATGGAAAATGAAACATGAAGGAGCAGAATTTCGAGAAGGTTGCAAGTAATCACGCATGGTTCATGCTTGTTGGTTTTCATTTTCATAATGTACACTTTCATTTTCAGTCATGGTGGAAGATATGAGTGAGTGTTGAGGTGAGTCAAACAAATTAATCACAATTATCTCTAACTAGGCAATGAGAATTAAATTCATGATACCAATATGACATAAAATAGCATAAAGTAGATGTAAAGAATGAAAATTAGGTGGCACGGCCAACCTAACCATATAATAAAAGAAAGGCAGATTGAGAGGCTTGACCTTCCCTTTAAAGAAAGAAAAAGAAATAGAAAAATGAAGGAGGCTCAGCCTTCCTTTAAAGTAGAATAACTAAAGTAATAAAATGAAAAAAAGGAACAAGTGTACCTGATTTGTGAAGATTACGAAAGAGAAGAAAACCTCACAAAAAGTAACAGAAAATAATCCTTGACGTAAATCCTGGACAACGGTGCCAAAAACTTGCTACAACTTTTAGGTTACAAACCCAAGTGTAGGTTGTCTTAAGTAGTAAACTCGAAAATCTGAAGTCGAACCACAAGGAATTGGAAGGAAATAAACTAATCTATGAGTTATGAATGGTTGGTAGAAATATGATGAAGAAGAATACTAGAGTGCTGGGATTCACTTCGGATAAATGAGTAGAAATTATTCTTGATCTTTTATTTAACTCATATGAAAATTAACTGGGGAGCAATCTCATATGGAAGATAAAACATTGATGATAAATATACTATAAGATAGTTCTTGATAATTGTTTGAAAGAATCTGTCAAAATAAATTGTTTTTATGTAGAAATTATCTAAGCATTTATTGTTCCAAAATTGTCAACAATAAATCAAAATCTTTAACAAACCAAAATCATTTGTAGAACATATACTTCAAACAAGTAAGAAAATCAACATTGAAGAACAAAGTGAAAGATCAAAGACAATACTACGCATTCATCGAAGTTCTACCCCAAGCTCTCACAAAAGGTTTAGTAATACATAATGAAATGTTACAAAGAAAATGAAGGAAACTAGAAGATGAATTGATGCCCCCTCAAACTCTTGGATAAGGTCCCCTTTTATAGGCAAAAGAACATCCAACATGCAAATGGACAATTTGCAACTTTTATTCTGTCCAGCTTGAAGACAATTGGAATGTAAAACTTAATACCAACTTTCAGACATGTTGTGCAGCAAATTTGGACTTTTGATCAAGAGATAAGTTGTTGCCACTCGAGTTATCTTTCCATTGTTATAAATATCAGGTCCATTGGATCTTTATAACTCTAGATATGGCCAAAACAATGATTACTGCTCACAGGTAGAAAAGCTATATAAAGCAAGTAACAATCTGGATTTTGCACGGTAATTTTGGCTGCCCTATAATTTATAATGAGAATTTGACTTCTTGGGAACGTGAAAATTGAGATGCATATATTACCTTTCCAACCCAACTTGAATCATCTTGGTTCGATGTCTATAGCTCAAGTTATGATCATTTTATGGAGACAGCTGCATCTTACTCGAGACAGCCCATCATTTTTTACTTTTCAACATTTTTTCTCCACTTGCTCTACATTGGAATACATTTGAAGTACATCAAATAAATGCTCTTTCAAGGTATAATACTCATGCTGACATGTATGTAAATACATATTTCGATTAATTGCACTTTACAACTATGTATTTATGCGATTTGAATTTATGGTAAGAGAATTGAAATTAAAGACTAAAATTAGTAAACTTATGCAAAATGAATGTAAAATGCTTTGTAAATGATATATCTTTGAAGCACTTTTACACTCTAATCACCTTACCTATTTTGAGTTTGGCGGATTAGGTCCCTGTTCTCTAATGTGTGTAACTATTTATGTTATCTTCACTCTCCAATCTAGTCAACCCTTTTCCCAAACTCATTTTGTTGCTTCTTATAACAAAACTAAAATGCCATTTCATTACCGACTACATGTAAATATTTTCTCAAATTCTCTCTGTTAAACCATGTAGTCTGAAAGAAATCAAAGAAAAACATGAATCCATGTTCGTACGCCACACTCTTTGGCTCATATTAAAATTGGCCTACGAGGTGCACTTCAACAGTGAAATATGGAGAATTAACATTTGCATGCAAATCATATGGAATTCAAATCAAATTGAAGCAATCAATGGCATTGTACACTCGACAAATTGGTTTGCTGCAAATACAAACATGTCTGGTCTCTACATGTTTCAAGTTCCAATTTTGGCATGTAATTGCTGAAATTAAAATGAGGGAATGCACAATGATATGGCAAGTACATTACGAAATGCAATGCACATTGAAAAAATTGAGGACACAAATGCACAGTGAAAAAGAACACTAAATGCACATTGAAATGGAAAGTAAATTTGAGGGTTTTAAAATTAAATTCGAAATGGCAAGTAAATTAAGGGAATGCACACTGAAATTGGGTGAATGCATACTGGAATTGGTTGAATGCACACAGTGTTACATAAAGTAATGAACCCAAATATACAAAACAACCAAGAACAGTGTTAGTACAAAAATTGCAGAAAACAAATCCGCTTCTAGCCGATCAACGAAACTCAGACCATAGGCATTAAAGATGAAGGTCTTTCATATTTTAGGCTCAGACTCGATAGAAAATCAAGTT